TTAATTTTTTACATTTTCTCTTTATGGTGTAATTCACACGTAATCGACAGTAAGAAGAGAAGAAGAAAAAAAATAAAATTATTTTTTAATCATCATCACTCTATGTGTCAATAAAGATCTCAGTATGGAAGCAAAACACTCGATTAATATTCAGCATCATTGGACATATTATTACTTCTTCTTTGTTTTCGAATGACATTTTTATCGATAGAGAACAAAACGTATAATTATACACTAACAACAACATCATCACACACTTGTCGTTATTTTTTTGTTTCATTGACTACAAAAATGTTGATTAGCAGCAAATAAACGAATAATATTGAATGGAATATAAAAAGAATTAATTGTACTTCGTCATAGTTGTTAAATATAATATGCTATAGTAAAAATATTTAGTTTTTTATAAACAAAAATACAATAGTTTTTACTTATAAAAACTAAATTTTAATTTTATTAGCTAATTTTTTATTAATCTGACGTTAATTCTTCATAGTTATATTAATCTAGTTGACTAATATTATTCTCTCTTTATCTCTATAATAAAACTTATTTATTTTACTCAATTTTATATTGTGTCAATCGAGGTCTCTCTACTCCTATGTCTATTTTCATTAATTAAACATACTGTTACGTGACGATGTCTAGTAATCATCTATCTTTTAAAAAACCGTATGATTTTTATGACATTTATGACTCTTTTATTTTATTCATTTCTTTCTTTCTCTATTATTAGTTAAAACTTAGACAGAGAGAGAGAGAGAAAAAGAAGAAGAAAAAGAGAAATGAAAGTTTTCTAAATTAATCAAATATATATCTATATTTGCCATTTATCTTCATCTTCTAATGGTAAATGATTATTCATTAAATTTGTCATGTGAGAGAATACTTTCCGTTGTATATCGAATTTTGTTCGATGTCTTTAATATATGTCATCGAATGATGATAATGAAAAAAAAGTAAAAAAAAAGTGACTATTATTATCACTGACAACGTTATAGTAGAAACAAACAACATCAACATTTTCATTCGCCGTTGATGGTGACAATGAAACTTTAAGGGTCTCAGATAATAATACAATATTAACGTGTGGAAGCAGCAGAAGCCAGACATTATACATAAAGGTATTTAGAGTTCGACCATTTTCTCCTCTACATACAGTATACACAGACTGTACAAAGAAGAAGAAGAAGAAGAAGAAGACGAAGAAGAAGAGGAAGAAAAAAAAAATGATAGTTGCCAATGTTCTTCACTAGTGTTCATTACTTGAATCCATATGAAACAAAATGTATTCTAATAAAATATTTTAGTAAAAGTGTAAAAATGAAGCAGTACAAATATTCTCTAAGATTTTTATTCTATATTCTTTTTAAAGCATCTCCTTGAACTCGAAAAAGAAAAAGTCTCTTATGTTAAAAATTTATTTATTTCTTTTTTTTTTTTCGTGTAATTATTATTAATGTATGCAGGTGTGAATAGTTAACAGGCAGCATGATATGTACAATGATTAGAGGTAAAAATAGAATTATTATTATCTTTTTCCTACAGTTGTTATACGATAATATTTTTGAAATATGAGAAATTATTGTCTAAAAAGTTCTGTACTAGAAACATCTTTTTAGCATAACAATATCCTAAGAATATAAATGAAACGTTAGACACTTAAGTTTTTGTGAAATTTAGAAATTTTCCAGTATCAACTCTTATATTAAAAAGAAAATGATAGAATTTTGATATATAAATGAAAACTAGACAGTTTTTATTCGGATTATAATATATAATTAATTGAACTGAACACTTTCAGGATATTAACTGTAATTTTTAAAAAAATTTTCAACAGATTTTTATCCGATTATCAACAGATTTCAAAACTTATTTACTGCGAACACAGCATACAGTGTAAAAGTCTTTGCATAGAGTATCGAGTAAGTTTTATCTGTTTTTCAAGTGTCATGGAGACTTACCTTTCTTTTTCGCTAAAAAGAACAAAACTTGAACAGAAAGAAACATGTAAATTGAAATTTCTATGAAGGAAATTTTAGATAAAAAAATAAAAAGATCTCAACTCTAAGTTTTTTGTTCTAGTTTCAAAATACAACGCGTTCTAAAAAAAACTAAATAGAGCAAAAAATGCGTGAAAAAGTCTTTCAGGATCACTACTTTTTTAAATTTTTTAGCAGCATCTGTTTCACACACTATAAAAAAAGAGAAAAAATCCATAGAATTTTAGACAATTTCACGAGAATGTTTTAAACTGCCAAATTTTCAATGTTTTGACAGTGAACAGCAATGCGAAAAACAAAAACTAGAAAAGCAAAATCCATCATTCGTGATGAAAAATGAAGGCATTATGTAAACAGATTGCTATATAACTGACGATTAATAAACAAAATGAAATTAATAATTATACCAATTTGTAGAGAATTAAATGTTACATTAAAAAAATATGTTTCAGAAATAGAAGAAAGTTTCTCTTTAAACTGTAATTATGTAGTGAAGACAGAAGAATCAAGGTTTTTTGTTCTTATTAACAAAAAACTAATTATTTCTTGCGCAAAAAAAAAATCAGAATGCCAATGTAGTTTAGTTCATTGGAAAGAGACGTGAAATGAAAATGCTTCAGGATTAGTACAAAATATTGTTTTTAATCATTTTCTTAATGATTGAAAATACTGTGAAAGAATCTGATAGGTGGCAGAAGTTGCAAAACAGTTGTTGTCGAACTCTTTTTTTTTTTTTTTTTTATCTAAAAAATGTCCTTATTAGAAACTTCAGTTTACATAGTTCTTCCTGTTTAGATTTTGCTCTTTTTAACGAAAAGGAAAGGTAAATTTCCATGATATACTTGAAAAATAGATAAAATCTTGCTCAACATTTTGTGCAAAGATTTTTGCATTGTACATTCATTCGTTAGTTTACTTGTATTAACATTTTCTATCTATCTTTTAAATTTATTTGTATAATTTTATTAAAAAGCTTTTGGTTTATGGCATTATTTCTCATTATTTTCTCAGTAGTAGCGCATACATAGAATAGAGTACCACTTGTCATTCAGCTAAAGGAGATGTTAACAAATCATATATATTACATAAATACTTTAGTAAGTAGATGTTCTCTGGTTACATGTGAAAATTCTTGAATATTACGTTTCTACTCGTAAAGTTTATTCTAATAAAACATTCCTTCGGGTATTGGAACCGTTAAAGATGGCTGAAGGCCAACCAAAGAATCAAGTCTTACAAAAAAAAAACTAAAAAAAAAAAAAAAAAAAAATTTACGATTTTTTTTTTTTTGTTGGGGTTTATTTTTTTTTTAAATTTATCCGGTTAATTTGATAAAAAAATTTAAAGTTTAAAAAAGAAAAATCATTTAACATGTTTGATAATCGCCTGAATGACATATTACATTGTAATATAGGAAGTATATTTTTGTGTCTGATAATAAATTACGAAAAAAAAAAAAGAAGAAAAAGAAAAAACAACAAAGATTTTTGAATGACAAATCACGTGATTAAAGAAATTGAGACTAATTTAGATATCGTTGATTTTTTTTCTAAAAATAGAGGCTAATCATACACATCACTTAACAACAAAACATGTTGTGAAAATACAAGTACCATTTTGTTGTAAAACAATTTCAAAATATTAGTAAACCATTTAGACTAATATTATTCTTCGTTTTCTAGAATTGTTACTGTTTAGCCCAAAAAACAAAAATGTGAAGAATCTTGTCACTTATTCACAGTTATTTTTTAATCATTAAATAAGTCAACCGATGTTGTTCAATTTTGTCTGTTCATCATAAATATAAATAAATTTTGCCTGTTTTTCTACTCCACTATTTCTCGCACAGAGACCTTTCAATGTATCACAGTTTAATTATTCTTAAAAAAAAAAGAAGGTGTATATAAATATTTCATTCTATTTCAATTTTCAACAGTATTCATTCTATCATACTTTTTACATAGAATAAAATGTATTTTATTGTGTTCGTGTTTAATTTTTGAACATAGTATAAAATTACTTTCAATGAATGAAGCTTTTTAATTATTAATATTCAAATTCGTGTCTTGAAACATTTATTATCTCATCCTCTCAGACGTGTGTTTTTTAATTCTTTAATTTGCAAAATAAAAAAATAATATGCTCATAGAAACGATATAGATGTATGTATTTTCTTTTTCTTCTTGTTCTTCTTCTTACTTCTTTCATGATAAGTGGAATGAAAAACTTTTTTGCATTTTCGGTGTTAATATTTTTTACATCTCTATCGGTATTCTTAATATTTTGTCTGTTAAAAATATACATTCTCTCTCTCTTTCTCACCCTACTTGACGTTGAAAGATATATATATAATAAATACGCTTTATATGATGCTGTAAAACTGCCCGTTTTTAATTTTTATATCGATGTATGACAATTTCTATACTTTAAAAGAACAAATAAAATAATAACTTGATTTTTCACACTACAACAAATTATTTACAGACATAAATAAAATTTCTTCTGTGATAAAAACTTATAGAGGGTCATAATATACATCAGGTTCCAGTTCTTAATTATGACACATTTTTAGAATATTCTATGTGTGCAGGTTAATCTTTAGTTTCTGTTTCGTAATACATTGCATTTTTGGTGAAAGAGAATTTTAAGAAGATTAGAGAGAATTTTTGATAAAATAAAGTAATATGTATATTCAGATAACTAAATTATAGAGTCCTAACATCATCAGATTGACTTTGGCATCTATAATGTAGTTTCAGATTGTATTTTAACACTTTTTTAAGTATATTGTTCACATACACTCGACATATTCTTAAAAATGCTTTCCTGATAAATGAATTTAATTTCCTGAATCAACATCCTTTTTATTTTTCTATTTTCTTCTTATCAGGCACTAAAATCTCACTTGGTACACGAACATCGAATGTTGCTGCCCGTATCCCTATTAAAGCAACGACATCCATTCATTCTGTAAAAACACTGAACACTAAAAACAGTATGCTTTCACCACCAAACACTTATCTACCAGGACATATATCACTTATAACTCAACCATCGTTGGCTCGTTCGCGTAATCGAAATTCTACGATAATCATAGACGATCATATTTCATCATCTCGACGAAATTCATCCGATAATAACACGTCATGTTCATCGCCATTATCAATTACACATTCTGTAACAAAAAAAAGTCATGAATCGACAGATTCTGGACTCGATTTATCTTTTTCGACAAGTTCATCACAACATAAATTATTACAAGAAACGAATACACAATTGAATAATAACAGTAATAATACTGATGCATTTCGTCAAAATCGACCATCGATTCGTCCATTAAGTGCATTAAGTGAAGAAAGTGAATTTATTCAAAGTGGACGACAACTACTAAATCCGCGAAAGCATCGTTCACAATCAGATGACGAAGATGATCAAGGTTATGATGACAAATATCGTTTAGAAAATACACATTCGGAAATTCGAACCAGTTCGGTTGATCGTCATCTAAACAAAGTATCACCCGCACCGTCCGTTCGACTACGTCAAAAACCTTTCTTTCCTCCAATAATTTTAACAAAAGAGCTACAAAGTCGTTCAAGTTCATTTTCTAATACTGAAGTGAATGCAATTGATAAAACTACAATTAATACGAAATTATCAAAAAAATTGAAACGAGCCAGTGATGGAGCTCTATTAGATATTGTGTCACGCGAAGAAATACACTCATCATCATCATATGGAAATACAAAATCATTAGAACAGCTAAATGAGAGTCCAATACCACCGAGGCGAAGATTATCGAATAAATCGGAAGAAAATAGTCTTCTTTCCTTGACAAATAATAATAAAAATAATCGAGTAGATAATCGTCTTCTTCTAAATGATATGATAAATGAATTACCGAACAATCATTTGCTTGTTAAACCAAGTAAGTAGTAAGTTTCTATAGTCTAAAATTTTGTCGTACAATATATGACCTGGTAAACGATACTTATGAGATTCGTGTGACTTAAACTATCTTTATCGTAATCTGTTAGATCACAGAAAAAAATACTTAAAAATGTATCTCGAATAGTCACAATATTATGAAAATCATTACTAAATTATTTTCGTCTGTATTTTCTTCTTTATTTCAGGCTTATTTATAAAAAACGAAACGAATGTGGCAGCAACAAGCCAGTTTGTCACTAATATCGATCATCAACATCCTTCTCATGTCAAGAAACCGACTGTACTAAAACCTCTCAAAAAGAAGAAAATTGTACCTGCTATTGCTGAACCGTACAATCGTGACACGACTGCATCTAGAATAGACATATATCATCATCATCATCAGGATCATCCATCATCAGCTAGTAATACAACAATGCCACGAACAACAACAAATAAAATAAAATTTCTTCTTGAAACACCAACACTACCAGAGTCAAAACAGACAGGCTTCAAACTAAACCCACAAAAATCCCAAACAGTGATGGATTTTCAAGAGAAAACCATGGATCAGCGAGGAGCACATGAAAATAGATCTGTAATAGATCGATCTGATACCTTTGAACAACAACAGTTTCTTCCAAAACATCTATATCGACCTATTCAGAAAGAACAAGTGTTAAAATCAAATACAAATAATACATTTCAACAGTTTTTACCATTTAATACATTAACATCCAAAAAAACAACGCCGAACCATCAAAGTAAGTGACGGTTGATTCGTTCTGCTTTTAAAACATCTAGATTCGATTCAATAATGTAAAATTTTTCAAAAGAACGAAAAATGTTACTAAGGCATCTAGGCTTAAGCATTTTTCTTTTTTTCCTTTTCTTGTTGAAGAATTTCAATTATATACGGAGAAAAATGTAGCACAATGTTAGAGTTAGTTGAATTGGTTATTATCTCTTATGGATGACAAAATTTCATGATCTACAATTTTCTCATAGTGAATGTTATTATTTGTCATAATTTTCTTTCTGATGAAAATGTGCGAATCAAATACATTTCAACCTTTCGTTATTTCTAAAGGTACAAATGGATCAACAATTTCCACGATCACTCAGTGTTCTCAACAACGTTCGGAAATCACCAGTACAACAACAGCAACAAAGTTTGCCAATGAACAATGCGTGTCTTTGTTGCAAGACAGCAACAAAATCGAACGAACCAACCAAGAAAAATTCTCAAACAGAGGAAACAAGAAAATCTTCATTAAAACCCCGCAGATCGAAGGTGCAAAAGAAAAAAAATACCAGAACAGCAACAACAAACTCATCATCGAGAAGGAACGGCACAAATCGTGGAAAGGAGAACAAGAAGAGCGAACGGTAAGCAAATAGATACGGCCTGTCTTTTGTTATTCTGAAAGCTAAAATTTTCTTTAAGACAATAGGACTAGATCACTGGTATAACCAATCCAAATTTTCTTTACTGAAATTTTTAGTAGAAAACTATCGTTTACTATAAGCAAGCGAGAGTGATGAATGAAGTGTATATTTTGTTGTTTATTCAAGTTTACTACGTTTTCTAGAGACTGTCAGATTGCTAAAAAGTCTTACCATTTATTCTACACGTAGATTATGGCATGTTATAGTTGTTGAAGTCATTTTCCTTTCCTATTTTCTATTTAATGATTATTTGTTCATCGTTTACAGGAGGAAGCGATCAGAAACGGTAACAGATACAACCGATCTACCGACAACGATAACATCATCAAACGAGACTACATCGGAAATAAAACATCTGCACGACGAAAGGAAAAGCAAGAAGAACAAGAAAGACAAAATGAAAAGTCGAAGCAAACGAGAGAGCAAAAAGGATATGTTGGATGGACAAAACCCTCTATCTATCCAGCTTCGAGACAACAACAAGAAGATATCGAGAATAAGTTTAAAATCACCAAAAAAATCAATAACACAAGGTATATTTTAGTAGTTTGGAAATTTGACTTAACGTTCTTCCAAGACTTAAGTCTCTAGCCTTTTAGAAATGGAACAAATGTCGGAAGATCTAACCCCGTCAAGGAAATCTATGACCCAAGTAATCATCGATCGCCCGAACGGTGCCCATCTATCATTGAAATCGTTAAAAAGTCCAAGCAAACATTCCATGCAACAACAGACGTCGAATCTAAGCGAAATAGGCGAGAGAAAGAAGGAAATTTCGAACAAATCGAACGTCAGTTTAGCAAAGAAGGAAAGCAGCTACGATCCGTTGACATCAAAAACAAGCATAACATCAACAAAAGCGAGGCAATCACCAAGCAGCAGTATGCGGAGGGATATGACACAAATTATACATCAGAAGGTAACTGGGTACTCTGAAGACTTTTTCTACTAAATAGTAATGTTCTGATATTTTTTTAGATAAGCCAGGGTCGTTGCCACCGAACATCATTCGGACGTTGTCTATCAATATTCAAGGATTCGATCCTATATTGTCGCCGAACACCGCGGAGAAAATACGATTATATTGGACAGAATATCACACCCACCCACACCACACTATCCATCAACAACGATTCAATGACAAAAACAATAGTAACAAGATCAACTCAACAACAACGACAGAGATCTCAGGAAATAGGATTTACGATTCTTCACAGGAAACCGATACAGATGGTGACGATGAAGAACAAACAGCACAACAAGTCACATACAGAATTGACAGGACGAACGATGAGCAACAGAGAAAACAAAGGTGCTTGAAATAAATTGGTTGCTTTCTATGCAACACTTTAAACGAGATAGTAGATGGATTAAACCGAATGCAAAAATTTCTAGCCTACCCTAGAGAACGCATTTGGTCCAAGTACTTCGTCTGCATAATGAAGCCGTTACTTGTCTTTTTTCCAAAAGTAAATACACTTGTAAGTATTTGTCCTTACTTGCCTTTCAGAAAGTACTTCTTAGCAACAAGGCAAGTATTTCGATCATTAACAAGGACTTACTTCAAGTACGTTCTCTAGGGTATCCAGATTCGATCAGGACACTTTATGTGTATATATATATATGAAAGACGTAAAAGTCAAAAATTTTATTAGTCATCTTTTTGCAGAATGTTCGTAGTGCGATGACGGATGGTTCCCGACTAACGAAGCTTTTAAAAATATGACTTAAGGCGATCACGATGTCAAAACGCTCCACTTCCCTCCCGCAAACTTAAATTAAAAAATGTTACGATACGCTGAAAGTTTATTTACACTTGAATCAAACGCTTTCAGTATTCAAAGAGGCTAAAATATCGAGATCTGATCCATTTTAAATATCAAATGCTACAGCCCTAGAGAACGTACTTGATGCAAGTACTTGATTACTTGCTAAGTACTTGTCAATGATCGAAATACTTGCCTTATTGCTAAGAAGTACTTTCTGACAGTACTTGACAAGTAAGGACAAGTACTTGCAAGTAAACTTACTTCTGGCAAAAGGCAGGTACCGGCTTCATTACGCAGACGAAGTACTTGGTCCAAGTACTTGGCCTCAAGTACATTCTCTAGTGAGTATACCGTGTAAAACTATTCCCTTGTTTTTCTGTCTGCTATCACCTTCGAAACACTTTTAGTTTTGATTTCTATTCTAGTGGACACACTCAACTCCCTTCAGGGTCAAGAAAATATTCTGTCACTCGAACCTCCTCTCAAAATGAGAGATATTCTCAATCGTTCATCAACAAAAATTCAGACACCCATGAGCATTCTCACTCAATCACAAACCATACCAACGATCAAATACAAAACGGAGATTGGGGATCCACCAACCACGCTCATCCTTCAAAAATCAAATACGACAACGACGGAGAATATTCAAACCAATCGAATCAATCAATCAATCGGGAGTATTGGTCAACAAGTCGAACAAATCCACTCACAAATTGGAGGACCGACATTGTCACGAATATTCAAAGATCTAACGGTGAAATGTCAACAGGAGAAAATGAACTTATATCGACTATCAAAGCATCACAGAAGAAAAAAGCATTACAAGAACAGAAAAGGATGAATGACAGGGACGAGGAGGAAATTATTGAAGATTTTTCACATCAACAATCGCACTACAAGGTCAGAATTCAAAAAATCTTCAGAGTCGCTTTTGTTTATATCTGTTCGTTCCCATGCCATCAAAAAATTAATCGGAAGTCTCGCAGTATCCATCTAAGTGTCATTTTTCGAGGATACACCGCTACGTTTGGACTCCTCGATTCACCCATCGACATTCTTGTTGAGTCATGAGAAAAGAATTAGCGGGAAAAGTATCGTTGAAACATCAGTTATTGTTCTCTGATAAAGCCCATTGTATCTTTGAATTTGTTTATTATTTTAGACTGTACCTCAAGTTTATCGGCCACAAGCATTTGGTTACTTTATAACTGAAGAAAATTTGAATCAGCTGATGGTCTATGACGAAGAAGATGAAAATTATGATAGCGACGATGGATGGTCGGTTTCTTCGGTGGATGTTATTTATGTTGATGAACGGTATAAGAAGACAGCATCAACAAAACTACCAAAAAACTATAAGCAGATAGCGGCTACGTGACAATACATGGCTCTTTTCAACGTACAATACTAGTGAATATTAAATTATGGAATGCTATATCTGCACATATCTATTTCGTCTTTTTCTATGTTTTTTCAAAATGAAACAGAATACGCTTAGATAATTTTTTTTATCAAAAAATAAGTATCAATCGCAATACGTCTATATACCATAAATATTACATTTTGTATTCGAAACAAACTTAATCTACATATCTGTTTTCAAACAGTTGAAATGTGCTGATACAAGCTCACAAGAAGATGCGTTGTTTTGTCACATGATATAATCCCATTTTTGTTTTTCCTTCATCTGTTGGTCGTGATAAGGAAGATTTAACCGCTGTTATTTCCTACTATATAGCTAGTCGTGTGACTTTCACTTTCCTATGTAATACAACTGTTTCACAAACCAGTTTAACTTTCTAAAAGCTGAGACTGCTATTGGCTAGTTAAGGAAGCGGAAGAGACATTACACAGTCCTAGGATTAATGATTTTCTTTGAAAACGATGCAAGTTGCATCGTTTTCGAAGAAAAGCGTTCTTGATGACCTTTCTGTGATAAATCTTTCTTGCGTCGAAATCTTCCTTTCACTATTATATCGATAATATCTTTCGCAATTAAGAGTGCTATAAGTGCCCGATTGGCAAGATGTCTGGGTGGACCAGTGCTGTCATTTGAACAAAGCAACTCTATCGTCTTCCCCCGTCAAACATTACGTAATACAGATCGCACAAGACTCCACCTATTCTATCCTTTCATGAAACTGTTCCTGACTGCTCTCTCGAAGCTACTGCCACTTCGTGGAACAGTGTTGAGAAGTGTCAAGAAAGTTCTAGTCCACTTTTCCTGATGAAGTCTCCTGTGAGTCTCCGAAATAACGGGGAGTTCTCAGGGGTTCCCTGTAAAATGTCTGGTGACTCCCTGATTTTCAAAGAGTGAGGAGAAATAATGAAGTCCCTGGTGATTCACAGGTGACTCTCCAGAGATTTCTTAAGGAGAATGTACAACATATTCACCGTTTTGTTTTGCGTCTGCAGAAGTATATAAAACGTGAAATTTAAACAGGAACATCTCGTTTCTTTAGACTAATTTCTTTCTTTTTTAGATACGTGTAGTTGCTTCCGCCTCAGACTCGTCGGCGTTAATTCGTCGTTTCAACGTGAGTTAACTTTTCAGCCGAGTGACTCGTCTGCTGGACGAGGCTCACTAGGTGTTTCAGCTGAGAAAGAATTTTGGAAAGAAAGTGGTAGTTTTTCTTATATAAAATAAATTTCAATTTGATCGATGGGAAAAAAGCTAAGTTGCGTTTAAAATTTAGCACATGAGTCGAATTCAGCATCTATTCGTTTTCGGGAACTCCCTTAGAAATCTCTAGGAATTCTCTCTAAACTCCCAAGGGATCCATATCGTGATTCCACAGGGATTTTTCTAGAGGAAGTGGACCAGGAAGATCTTAGAGATTGGTATGTGAAAGGCGAGCACTAGCTTAATGGGTACTGTCTCACGTACAAAGACGGCTGGTATACTCGAGTCGTCTCTCTATCTTGATTCAAATGATGCTCGCACTCTGTTCTCAACTGAGTGTTTTTAGTGGGAAAGTGATCAAGTCTCATTCGTATTCTCAAACTACATACAGAAGGAATGAGTGTGACTGACGTGAGAAGAAGCAAAAGGTTGTAGAGGTTGAAAGAGATCAAGCTCATTGCTGTCATTAGATGTCTCTGTCGACAATTCGACTTCGTTCCTTCCATTCTCTCTCTTGACATCGATCTGTTCTTGTGTTTGACTGACGAGGGAACCTCCCCAAGTGAAGGAGCGTTTTTTCCTCGAAACATACATGACTGTATGTAATCGACAATGCTAATTCCGAATATCATAGTCGGAGCGGCCCATGTCGTTTTGGAAACCCGGTTTTCCAGAAAACCAGTTTTTTAGAAACTCTAAAACTAACCGAAACCTTTTCTTAATCAGTTACGATTGTAGCCCGCAAATTTCTGATTAGAATGAGACATCTCCCAGCTCTATACTACCTTTCTTTGCAAAGTTATAGAATTTACAAGAAAAGCCCTGAAAGTTCATTGTCAGCTCAAAGCTACAGGAACAAGACAAATTAAATTTAGGGCTTTTCTTGTAAATTCTATAACTTTGCAAAGAAAGGTAGTATAGAGCTGGGAGATGTCTCATTCTAATCAGAAATTT